CTCGATGAGTGGCCTTGGAGAAAGTGGGCTGGGTGTGCCCATGGGAGGTTCAGATCAGCAGGGCGGGAGGGGCTCCCAGCCCTGGCAGAGCTAGGGAGGGTTGCCTCGTGGGCCCTCAGTCGCCCTGAGACCTTGCTGCCAGGGAGGTGGCTTGCCCGCTCTCAGCCTGCACATAAAGGCCGCCCTATAACGAGCCAGCCTCGCTTTCTCATTCTGTGAACCTCCAGCCACCTTTGAGTGTTTTAAGTGCTGGGTTGTCGAGGTTCAGCGTCTGAGCCCAGTGTGAGCCCAAAGTTAGGGCTGAGTCTGTGACCAGCATCGGGCTCAGTGCATAGCCAGCATGAGGCCTGGGTCTTTGTCTTAGCTGTGGGACAGGGTGCAGCTCAGTTGGTGGTTGGAGTTAGGGCCCAGTCTAAACCCAGGGAGTTGAACAGGCTAACTGGTTTCCTGCATTGATTTGTTCATATATTCAGCAATGTTTATTGAATGCCTCTTGAAGGCAACAAAACAGACAAGACCCCTGTTGGTTCACAGATGATATTCTCATGGGGGTGGAGGGTGGCAGGGGTGCGCTGGAGCTGTCACTTGCTCACGAGAACCCATTGTGCACATTTCCCCCAAGGGCGTCTTGTTGATAGCTTGAAATCAGCCATGCTAGAAGTATGCCTTCCCCCACAAACCCACCCCACTGGAACACCACTGGGGGCTGAACAAGAGGTAAACTGATCATCCTTTAAAAATGGCAGTTTGTTTTCACGCTGCTAATAAAGACATACCCAAGACTGGGTAATTTATAAAGGAAAAAGGTTTAATTGACTCACAGTTCTGCATGGCTGGGGAGGCCTCAGGAAACTCACAATCATGGCAGAAAGGGAAGCAAACACGTCCTTCTTCACATGGCACCAGCAAGGACAAGTACCAAGCAAAAGGGGGAAAAGCTCCTTTTATAAAACCATCAGATCAAGGCAGGCAGATCACGAGGTCATGAGTTCAAGACCAGCCTGGCCAACGTGGTGAAACCCCGTCTCTACTAAAAATACAAAAATTAGCTGGGCACATGTCTGTAATCTCGGCTACTGGGGAGGCTGAGACAGGAGAATGGCTTGAACCCAGGAGGCGGAGGTTGCAGTGAGCCAAGATCGTGCCACTGTACTCCCACCTGGGTGACAGAGCAAGACTCTGTCTCAAAAACAAACAAACAAACAAAACCAAAACCATCAGATCTTGTGAGAACTCTTTATCATGAGAAGGCATGGGAGTAACCACCCCCAAGATTCAATCACCTCCCACTGGGTCCCTCCCACGACACATGAGGATTATGGGAACTACAATTTGAGATGAGATTTGGGTGGGGACACAGCCAAACCATATCGTGGCATGATCACAAATATTTATCTGATTTCCTTCCCCAAACCCCAATGGAATGATAGTAAAGAACAAAATCATAAATGCATAAGAATTAAGAAACTAACTCTTGGACAAGTACAGTGGCTCACAACTGTAATCCCAGCACTTTGGGAGGCTGAGGAAGGTAGAGGATTGCTTGACTCCAGAAGTTTGAGACCAGTCTGGGCAACATGGCAAGACCCTGTCTCTACAAAATACAAAAATAAAAAATTATCCAGGCGTGTGCCTGTAGTCCCAGTTACTCAGGAGGCTGAGGTGGGAGAATCACTTGAGCCCATGAGTACAAGGCTGCAGTGAGCTGTGATCACACCACTGCACTTTAGTGTGGCAGACAGAGTAAAACCTTGTCTCCAAAAAGAAAGAAAAAGAGAGACAGAAAGAGAGAGAAGGGAGGGAGGAAGGGAGGGAGCGAGGGAGGGAAGGAAGGAAGGAAGGAAGGAAGGAAGGAAGGAAGGAAGGAAGGAA